CTATCAACTAATAACGTTATTTTTTTAAAAGATAGGACAGAAAGTGACTTCTATACTTTTAAAATTTATGCAAAACTGAGGAGGTCTTTAGACTGAGCCAACTATACTGCTATTTTTTTATGATCTGCATAATGACATCACTGTTACTCCATACTAACAGGCTTTGTTTATTTAGCCGCAACAAAGTGAACATTTATATATGGTAAAATAGCATACAAGTCATTTAACAAAATTTGAGGCTTTATTTAAGTTTTCGAAATCGAAATTGGAGCAGAAATCGGAATTCAAAATTCAAAATCTAAATTGAAATTCACATTTGCTACTTCCCCATTAACAAAATCTTTGGATAATTTAAATTTAGAAGGTAGTTAACATGCAAGCTTTAATTGATTAAAAAACTCGATTAAGAAAGATTCTTGTCAACGCTTGATCAACTGACTTTTATCTTTGAAATGTAATATTCATTGAATCATAAAATTCATTAGATCCTTTTGATTGCTGTTTTTCTTTTCTTTTGATTTTGATTATCATTATTAGACAAACTCCTTGTTCTAAGAACATTTAGAAGTTGTCAAGGAACTTATTTCATCCAAAAAATCATCATTTGGTATTTATGTAAAATAATTTCAAGATAAAATTGTTTATTTCAATAGGTACACTCGGACATCTATTCTAATGATACCTGACGAAATGTTTTCGTAGGCGGGAAATTATTTCGTCAAATCATTGTTAATTTCGTCACAATTGGCGAAATGGTAAATGTGATAAATTGACGAAATGTGACGAAAAGAAGAAAATGCGACGAAAGGAGGAAATGTGACGAAAAGGAGATATTATAAATAAACAATTCTAAAAAAAATTTTTTTAACAAAATTTTTTCTTCTTCAAAACTAATCAATATGAATTTTCTGATGGTAATTATGATCTAAGAGATTTACTAAAAGATATTTTTGTTGAAGATGAATTTGAACGTGAACATAATTCAGAAAATAGTTATTTTCATGATTAATGAAACTGATAGAAGTATTGTTTCGAACAAGAATAATGGTGTATGACGAAACTTTTAGCTTTAGTCATTGACGTAACTAAAGTATTTACTAAAGGTAGTTTCTCATCAGGGCCATTCTGATGATTTGACTAAAGCAAAAGCTCTTGACGTAAGTAAAAACGATTGATACAATAAAAACACTTGATACAAGCAGCGATAATGATATTGATAAAATAGAATTATCAAAAGTTCCAAATTATGTAAAAATTAGTGGTTTGTATCCGCCGAATGATATTCATCGATTATTCACCGATTATCCGGTTAATCGGGCGTTGAAAATTTTTCATTGATTAATTAATCGGGTGTTGAAAATTTTCACCAGATAATAATAATTGGTGAATAATCGGTGGTACAGAAATATAGAAAATAAAAATTTTTATCCGCGTAATTGAAAGAATATATACATTAAGTATAAGATATTGGGCGCACGACGGCCAATATCATGTTAATACTATTTTATCCACTATTGCACTATCACCAACATTCTTTCTATTATAATAATATATCAAGTAATATGAATACTAACTGTGTCATTATTATTTAAAGAATATCTATGCATTACAGTAACTTCTACTCCAAATGAGCGACCTTGCCACAACGGACTATAATTATAACGGATTTTTAAATCTTTGCTTCACATTCACATTAAAATAAAAATCCATTGTGACAAGATCAGTAAATCTTGCCACAACGGGTTTTAAATAAATCTTCATTCATCCGCTGCGACAGGGTTTGACTTATTTAGTGAAGCTGGAAACACACAATGACATAAAATTGATCCGTTGTTATTTGTGTTTCTTAAAAAAAAAAATATGCATATTCAACAAATATTCAGTGGATATTTGGCGGATATTAGGTGAATGACCGATTATCCGGGTGTTGAGTTTTATTGACTGACCGATTACCCGGATGTTGAGCTTTATTGATTGACCAAGTACTTAAACATCCAGATAATCAACGGATACAACCACCAGTAAAAATGTGTGTCCGGGGGCGAATAGAATTATTGTATCATTGTATGTATATTGCAATGATGCAAGAAGAATAATTATCATTGGAAGTTTACAAATGTTATAATTTGAATTAGAAAGTTTACATATGCGCTGATTTGATTGAACCCCAAAATCTAGTACGTATGATAATAATGTTATGAATACTTTATACTAGCAAAACCCATTGGTTTTGAGGTGGGGCCATTGGTTTAACGTGCTATCGAATAGTAAAATAGTTTTTTAGCGGAGCAAATAAACTTTTTGGGGGCTAATTATCATTCTATTGACCAGTTTACTCATCATGTTTGACGTGTTTAACGTCGAGACACAATAAGATATACAAGGTTTGAAAAAAGGATCTAAAAAACCAAATCGGCTGATATGACTTAATTAAACTATTTTTTCCCCTATATTTTCTTTCAAAATAAAAATACCTCTTCTTTTTTACAAATTAAAACTCTTCTATTATTATTACAAACTGTCTTTACATACATATGAGTGGTAAAGCAAAAGATTATAAAGGAAAAAAAATAGTCAACATTACTAAATCTAGTTATTGAAAGTATTACATACGGTAATGTAAATTCTTTTAGTAGAAAAATATTAATAGCACAAGTTTTAGCTATGTACAAGAAAATGTCACAGTATTAGCCGGCCAAGTAATTTTTAAACGGCATAGCTGTCTAAAAAAAATCCTCTTAACATTCATTTTTACATCTGGAATTTTAGTGCAGGATTCAATGGCATAGACATTTAGTTGAGATGAGTCCATCTGCATTACTTAGAATGACAAAAAAAAATTTTTTACAATAAGATAAAAATCATATAGTAATACAAATTCTTATTTTAATTGGAATTATTATTATTATTATTCGTTCTATTCGAATTATTCGTTCTATCGAATTATTCGTTTTATTCATTTTACTCGTTCTACTAATGTAATTCGAATACTCAAATTTAGAGATGTGCCATTCATAGTAACCGTGATTTTTTTCGCGCATAGTGCGTGCAGTGCGCATGGTAGCATAGTGCGCATAGTGTATATGTATCATAGGGAGGGAAATATCATAAATGCGCATCTAATAATAAGAAAGTAATGACATATTTAATTTTTTTTAGAAATGTTTATTTATAAGTAAAGTCTAAAAAATATATCTAAAACCTTATGCATAGCACACTATGCGTAACACACTATGCGCGGCACATCTCTACTCAAATTCATAACGAATAAAACAAATAATTCAATCAAACTTATTCGGACCATTAAAGGTGAGATATTATAATAACAATAGTAAATAACAGTAATAATAATAGTGATAATAACCATAGTAGTAGTGATAATAATACCGGCTAAGCCGAACAACTCTTAGCCGGCCAAGAACTTAAATAAATCCCAGTTGATGAAAACCCTTTTCAAATGGTACTAAGCTTGCCGATATTATTATTAATACTACTATCGTTATTATTATTGCTATTTTTATTATAATATCTCGCCTTTAATGGTTCGAATTATTTGTTAATTTGTTATGAATTTGAGCATTGAAAGTTTTATTCGAATAAACGAATAAAACGAATAATTCGAATAGAACTAATAATTCAAAAAGAGCGAATAATTCGAATAATTCGAATAAAACGAATAAAATGAATAGTTCCAATAAAACGAATAATTCCAATAGAACGAATAAAACGAATAATAATAATTCGAATTAAAATAAGAATTTATATTACGAATAGAAACTCTATGACTTTTATCCTGCTATGATGTATTGTATTTCCTTTTTGAGAAAATGTAATTTTTTTTGTCATTCTAAGTAATGTAGGTGGACTCATCTCAACTAAATGTCTATGCCATTGAATTCTGCACTAAATTTCGGACGTAAAAATGAATGTCAAGAGAAATTTTTTTAGCCGACTAAGCCGATAAGTTTCTTAGCCGATTAACATCACTTGGGAGAATATGCAAAGTGATAATATACATGACTCAAATAAATCAAGAAAATGCCATGTGAGATAGTAATAGTAAAATTGAGGTCCAACTTGGATCCCGCAATCAATCATTTTTATTATGACATCATCAATGATGCATTTTGGCATAGTAATTAATATTTAGTCATTCATTATTAATTATTCTATTTATTATATTTTATTGGGCAAAATCATGTAAAAAGTCATGTTATTTGTAATGCTTCAAGAAGTATAAATACACTTGAAATTTCCCCTTCAATTTTTTAATAATATACATTTGATAATAAAAACTGTAATCAGTTAATAAAGCTGGTATGATTGATTCATGATATTTCTGATGATTAATGGTTTGGCCAACCTTTAATTATTAGTTAGGAACCCTTTTGATTTTACTGTATTGCTTGTAGTGATGCCTCAAGTAGTATATTTCTATTTTTTTTAGAGCATACAAAGCTGGGAAGAAAACCTTGCACTTGACCAGAACTAGGGTTTCCATTTGAATAAAATGAATAATTTGAGTTTTGTATTATGAATAATTTGAATAAGAGTTTTCAATACAAATTACAAATAGAAACCCTAGCAGAAATGAGGTGAACTTTGAACTTTAT